TGGTGAGGGGGTGCTCCGGAAGAGACTAAGAACTGTGAGGATAAAGACATTTTAGGGTCTCAATATTCCTCCTTCATCAGGGTTAAGAAATAAGATAACATTGAATGAAGATAGAATTATGTAGCCACCACCAGTAGACTTTATTACCAGCGCTGGCTTCTTATATCTCCTATGGACTGTGCAGATGAGACATCCCCACCACAACTTCCAGTTCCTCCAATTTGATCCTTCCATTCCGAACAGTTTTAACCTGTTCCAGACTGATTTTATGTGTTTAACAATGTTCTAACCATTGTCCAATATGTTATAAATCCGTTCAATATATCATTTCCTATTCTCCCCCCCCCCACTAGTCGATTCATCTATCCGGCGGTGATCACATTCGTCATAGCAACGCTCACCTTCCCTCCAGGATTCGGGCAGTTCATGGCTGGGGAGGTAAGGTTTTAGATCCTGAGATGCTGAAAAGCAAAGGGCTACATTGTTGCTCCCCTTGCCACGGGAATATGAGCCCTTACGCCCAGTGTAATGGATTGGCATATGTGCACGGATGGGGGGTTTTGTTATCTGTTATGACTTTAAAGAGAACCAGTCATATGCGGACATTTGTAGGAATCTGAATCTCCACACTTATGCTGTTATAATAATGCAGCCTTATCTCTCAGGGATAAGTGTGTGTGATGTTATTTACTTGTATTCTCTCCCTGTCAGAGCCGCGTTAGGGCACCACAGAGGCTGACTGGTCTCCATACTTAGGGTTGACAACTGAAACTATCTTTGTGATGCCGGAGAAGGGTAAACTTATCGGTTAACATAGCCTTTAATTTGCTTTCATGTAATCCTGACAGCATCTTTCTTATGTAGCAAATTTCTTATTATATGTTATCAGCACAGAATACAGTCAGGAGATAGGATAATATTATTATTATTATTACTACATAGTATTTATATAGCGCCAACAGTTTGTGCAGCGCTTTACAATATAAGGAAGACATTACCATCACAATTCAAGACAAGATGGTAAGGAGGGCCCTGCCCCTGAGGGCTTACAATCTAAAAGGGAGGGGCAAGTGATACATGAGGAGGTAGCTGTGTGGGGATGAATTGTTTGAGAACGTGACGGTTCAGTGGTTAGGTTGAGGTGGGATAGGCTTCCCTGAAGAGATGAGTCTTAAGGGATCCCCTAAAGGAAGTCAGAGTAGGAGACAGACGGACAGGTTGGGGTAAAGAGTTCCCGAGCATGGGAGAAACTCTAGAAAAGTCCTGCAGGTGAGCATGGGGGCATTTGATGAGGGAGCTGGAAAGCAGGAGGTCTTTGGAAGAGTAAACGGGACGGTTAGGGTGATACTTTGATATAACCTCTATATGATCCTTACATCCTGACACTTCTGCTCTGACAGGAAGATAATACCAGTAAATAATAAAAAACACGCAATCCCTGATAGAGAAGGCTTCACTATTACAAGAGCTGCAGACCCAGATTATTACAGATGCCCGTTGCTGACAGGTTCTCTTTAAGGAAAGGTAGCGGGGGGTCTTATTTTGGCAAAAGATCCACCTTAAAAATAAATCCAACCTCTAAAATGTTGATGTCATTCTCAAAGTCATTTTCATTGTTCACTGTAATCTACAGCTTTCGTAAAATGATACCTGCTATGAAGGTCCTTGTTCAGGCACTTCCTGTTGCAGGGTGACAGCGCTTGGCCTCTGTCTCCCAACTGTGCTGCCGCGTTGTCACCCTGTCACACGGACTTCCAATGGAGACTGCAAGTAGCTGTTACAACATTACACAGACATGGTCATGGTGGGATTTACTCTCTCTGCTGCCCCAAGGCCAGGTTCCTCAGTGCGCCCCCTCCTCGCCAAACCCCCCACCCATGAAGAATGGCCACCAGATGGCGAGGGCGGCAGGGTTGGTTTTAATTTTTGTATTTAATTTTTTTACTTTTTATCACTTTTTAAATTTTTTTACTTTTTGTTTAATTTCTTTTACTTTTTAAAAATTTAATTTATCTTATCTTTAACTTTTTTATTGGTTATCATTTTACAGGACCTACAGACCTAGGAGGGCTAAATGTAGAAATCAACTCCCTGCCTGGTGTCCGGAACTGCATGTCCCGGGCGTTGGGAGATAGGAATTTCACACCCCTGCTGCCCCCAGGGCCGGATTTCCCACAAGGTCAACCAAGGCCCGGCCTTGGGGCAGCAGGGAGTAGAGGGGCAGCAGGGTTGTGGAATTGCTATCTCTCCATGCTGGGGGGGGGGGGGTTGGCAGGTAGGGAGGCACATTGAGGAACCTTGCCTTGGGGCAGCAGAGAGAGTAAATCCGGCCCTGGGCTGCCCCTCTACTCCCTGCCGCCCCAAGGCCGGGCCTCAATGGCCTTGTCAAAAATCCCACCCTGGACATGGTCCACTGTTGTCACCATAAGTAAGCCCGCCCTGAGAAATGCCATGCAGCCATTGCTGGAGTGCATGTAGACAGGAAGTGGATGAAGGAATCAGCAACACTGAACAAAAGGGACAAAAAAAAATGAGAATTTCAAGTATTACAAAAATGACACTTATCTATGATACGCAGTACAAAGCAAAGTACAGAGCATAGTTAAAGTGACATTAAACCCTCAGATTTTTTAACATAAAACAATACTGTAATTTGCGCCTTACTGTAATCCATGGTCGTTTTCCTTCTCTTTGCTGCTCTTCCTTTTAAATCTGTATCTCTTCTCATGCTGGGCAGAACTTCTGTTTTGCAGCAGACTGCCTTGTCTCTGGAATGGATACACGGTGTCTGTATGTAGGTTCACAAAATAAGCCAGCACTACAGGAAGAGGCACTCAGCTGCAAAGCAAAGTTCTCCCCCAGCATGAGAAGAGATAAGGAACTAAAAGGAAGAGCAGCAAAGAGAAGGGAAACTACCATGGATTACAGTAAGCCACACATTACAGTATTGGTTTATGTTAAAAAATCTGAGGGTTTAATGTCACTTTAATATCATTCAGCTCGGGTTTACATCTACTGTAAGGTAGACCTGACTGACCCGTCTACCCTTGTTCCCTGGTTGTCTAGTATTCTCTATGACTCTCCTGTGTTCTATGTCCCAGCTCATGCCCCGGGAGTGTATCAGTGTCCTGTTTGATAACCACACATGGACGAAGCACGTGGGGAACACCTCCGGCTTGGGACGCTCTGCTGCCTTCATCCACCCAAACATCAGCGTCTTTGTAACGCTCCCCCTCTTCTTCATCATGAAGGTAACCCCAAGTTATCCTTTTTGCCTATTTATGAGAACTTGAAACAGTTACCGTATTTTACTTCCTTAACACCACACTCGCGCGATCCCACATTATGGCCTCATCAACAATGTCATACATGGGCTTGCCAGCGTAGTTACAGATTCCATGGGTTGACTAGGTTGGCCATCACATGATAAGGTTTTGGAGATTTCAAAGAAACAATGAGATTTGTTGATAAAAAAACCATTATGGGGTTTATTCACTATGGACCCGAAGGATCCTGCTGTAGCTTCGGCTGATCCTTCGGCTCTCTTCGGCAGCCTCTGCCCTTTGGTTCAGTCAAACCGAAGGGCTGCTGCACGGGCTATTCACAATAGCCCATACAGCAGCCGAGCCGAAGGCAGCTCGACTGAGCCGAAGTGACAGCTGAAGCTGACCAATCTCCACGCAAATGACAGCTGGGCAGAGCCAGGTGTGATCTCACAGCCGGCTCCGCCAAGTTGTAATGACAGATCAGCGTCCCCAAATGACCTGGGGACGCTGATCTGTCATTAAACAATAACAACTGGGCGGAGCCGGCCGTGACATCACACCCGGCTCCACCCAGTTGTTATTTATTGGCCGGGACCTGCTAGAAGACTCTGGCAGGTGCCGGCCAATAGGAAACAGTTGTACTTGAAAGGGAATTTTTGGGTCATTGGTCTTTAATACGTGTGATCCTTTTAGATCACTTTTAGTCCCCCACAACTTTAACAATCAGATGGCTATGGCTATGAAGACCACTGCTTTCCCTGCAGAGGTCCGACACATCCTCTGCTGCATCTCAGATGGAGTTTTCCATTCTGAGGAGCTCTAGCTCTGACTAAGGGGTGTGTCGGACCTCTGCAGAGAGACCAGTGATTACACACAGAGAGCAAGGGTCCCTCTCTGCAGCATGCTGACAGGGGACAGTCTTTTCTGCTAAGGCTGTGGCTGCTTTCTAATAAAAATTAACTGGAAGACTCTGCTGAACCTTTTTGCTTTTGCAGCTGGAATGTATTTCTCAGGTAAGCTGGAGATCTCATTGAGCATTAAAGGAGAACTATGGGGTTAAGGCTTTTCCCCATAGTTCTCCTTAGGCTAACGTGAGGACACAAACTAGCGTCTTCCCGTTACCCTAAGCTCAGTATATAGGGAGCTTCAGCTACATACTGAGACGCCGCAGCCGGAGCGGATCCCGACATTGATGTCGAGATCCGCCCAGCTGCGTATCTCGCCCCCTCCCCCGTCCGTTCCGCCAGTCAGCGCTGGCAGATCGGAGCGGGGAGAGGGGAATCCAGCCCCTCCCCTGTCACGGCAGAGAGCCGTGACAGGATCGAGAGGGGAGCGGGCGCCGGTATGTGTTCGCTCACCTCCCGATCTACTGAGCCGACCTGTGACAGTCTCATTGTCACAGGTCGGCTAGAACTATGAGGTGAGTGAAAAGCACCCCCCTCATAGTTCTCCTTTAAGAACAGTAACCCAATGCTGTTTTTTTTTTTTCTCATTCCAGTTTTTGATGTCCGTCGTTGCTACTACGATGCCCATACCCTGCGGTGCCTTCATGCCGGTGTTTGTCCTCGGTAAGCCGAAGATGAAGGAATGGAAAATACCATTCGGTGGTTTTGTAGTTTTTATTGAGTTGCATTATGGAACAACAAAAAAAGTCAAAAAGTTTCTTACATTGCCCAATCTAATGCCTGGCCTCTAATATGTACACAGTAAGACTAATTCATTAACAGTATGCAAGGAGCAAAGAACTAAGCATAAAGTGCAATGATCTTAGCCAATCAGAATCTGTCTTGTAGCAGCCAATCAGAATCCGTCTTGTAGCAGCCAATCAGAATGCATCTTGTTGCAGCCAGTCAGAATCCGTCTTGTAGCAGCCAGGTAGAATCCGTCTTGTAGCAGCCAATCACAATCCGTCTTGTAGCAGCCAATCAGAATCCATCATGTAACAGCCAGTCAGAATCTGTCTGGTTGCAGCCAGTCAGAATTCGTCTTGTAGCAGCCAATCAGAATCCGTCTTGTAGCAGCCAATCAGAATTCATCATGTAGCAGCCAGTCAAAATCTGTCTGGTTGCAGCCAGTCAGAATCCGTCTTGTAGCAGCCAATCAGAATCTGTCTAGTGGCAGCCAATCAGAATCTGGCTTGTAGCAGCCAATCAGAATCCATCTTGTAGCAGCCAGTCAGAATCCGTCTTGTTGCAGCCAGTCAGAATCCGTCTTGCAGCAGCCAATCAGAATTGGTCACACAATTCATTAAAATGAAATGAAATCGGTTGGTATAGGTGACTACATCTAGAATTTTGCTCAAGCATGTTGCCGTCTTTCTCACCGTACTGTATTTATGGAGGATCAGCATTGTTACAATAGGACAGGAAGCAGTTATGTCACAAGAGGTGCGGCCCGCATTGGGTGACACCATCAGAGGGGGTAACACCAAAATGACTTACAGTCCTTTTGGTGTCACCCCCACTGTAAAGTTGGGCACTCGGTCATGCACGAGAGAGGAGGGGAGGATGGGCCCCAGCGGTATACCTTATCCCGCTGGATGAATGTCCCCTCCTCTATTAACAAGCATCCATCACCAAGATGGCCACTGGCAGTGAAGTGCACGAGACACAAGAATGACGTCAAGCATAACATAATGACGTATGTACCAGGTGACACCAGGCAGCCGCACCGGGTGACACCCAGCCTGGTGACGCCCCTGCAGGAAGTAGGCTAGAAATTCTCATGATCTCCATAACATAGAGGAAGATGCTTTGTAGTCCTAACATACTTCCTGATGCATTGTTCGAGATAGGACTGCAGAGTGGATCGTGGATCATCCAGCGTTGCTGTAGTCTCATCTGCATCTGTTCTAAGCTGATAGTAGAGGAACCCGGCACTGCAGCTTCGTCACTGTTCCATGTGCTCCGTGTTCAGTTCTGAAACATTGAGCTGCTCCACCCTCTTGTCTCCAATCCCGCTGCCTGAACCTCGGTGCTGTGCGAAGCAGGTGTTGGAGCAGCTGTAGACTTCTCGCAGCTTGACCACGTCTGGCCGTTCTCCTCTGACCTCTCTCATTAACAAGTTGTCAGCAGTTCCCCCTCCACTATGGCAACAGTTATGTTTGAGGTCAAAGTTTCTCAAATCACGTGCCGATCCCATTCCCATGCCAATGTTTTGGTAGAGCAGCACCTCTTGGCCATGTCTGCATGTAATCAGTTGCAGCCAGATGATTGGCGGCTCAGTTATTTCTGATAAAACCATTCCACCTATAAGGGGGGGGGGGGGCACTGGGCTCTTGTAGATAATGATGATAATAAATGGCATTCGGGACATCTGCTGACTTTATCGGCAAGAAAAAAATCAAAGCAACTGGACTTGCCGTGTTTTTCTTGAAGACTTTTAACTGGTCACCTGACTAGCTTTCTCTATTCTGAATTCAATTCTCCATTCTGAATAGAGAAAACTAGTCGGATGACCAGCGAAACGTCTTCAAGAAAAACACGGCAAGTCCAGTCGCCTTGATTTATTTCTTACAGATATACCATGAGCCGGATGAATGAGAACCTCCCACACACATCTGTTGACTTTGTCTGCATTGCTCCCGACCAGGTGCCGCTTTCGGAAGAATTGTCGGGGAGTTGATGGCTTTCCTCTTTCCCAACGGAATCTTGTTTGATGGGATTGTGTATCAGATTTTACCCGGGGGCTACGCTGTGATTGGTCAGTATCCGCAGACTGATTCTCTCTCTCTCTCTTATTAATATATTTTTTGTTCATTTTCTGTTTATTGCATGAATTCATATATCGGCACCATGTTCTGCAGTGTTTAAAGGGTCACACATTATTCATTTCGCTGGTCACTAGCCCACTGTGTTGTCTGTGACGTACTTTATTTATGTATTACATGTATTTATAATGTTGCCAACAATATTGCACAGCGCTCTTCATACTGCACACCAGTGGCGTCACAAGAGGGGTGCGGGGGGGTGCGGCCCGCACCCGGGTGCCACCATTGGAGGGGTGCCACCAAAATGACTCACAGTCATTTTGGTGTCACCCCCCCTCTGAAAAGTCGGGCGCTCGGTCATGGACCGAACGCCTGGCAGTATCAGGAGAGAGGAGGGGACCCGGCGGCATACCTTATCCCGCCGGGTGACTGTCCCCTCCTCTCTCTGCCGGCGTCCATCACCAAGATGGCCGCCGGCAGGTATCAGAATACATCTGCGCGTGCGCGATGAAGTCACGCGCATGCGCAGTGACGTCTCGGCGGGGTGATACTCGGTTACCGCTCCGGGTGTCACTCAGCCTCGGGACGCCCCTGCTGCACACTCACATGTATTTGTTGCTGTAAAAAAAAATCTTAGCGCTCTGCTCTGGCTGGCACTTACCATGAAGCTGAGGCAATTTTGCTTTTTGTTTTAAATGTATTTCTTTGTTGCAAACATTCACACTCACCGGCCACTTTATTAGGTACACCTGGCTAATACCGGGTTTGGACCCCCTTTTGCCTTCAGAACTGCACTCATACTTCGTGGCATAGATTCAACAAGGTGTTGGAAACATTTCTCAGAGATTTTGGTCCATATTGACGTGATGGCATCACAGGCCCAAAGTGTGCCAAGAAAATATCCCCCACACCATTACACCGCCACCAGCCTGAACCGTTGATACAAGGCTGGATGGATCCACACCAAATTCGGACCCGACCATCTGAATGTCGCATCTGAAATGGAGACTCATCAGACCAGGCAACGTTTTTCCAATCTTCTATTGTCCAATTTTGGTGAGCCTGTGCGAATTGTAGCCTCTGTTTCCTGTTCTTAGCTGACAGGAGTGGCACCCGGTGTGGTCTTCTGCTGTTGTAGCCCATCTGATTCAAAGTTTTACGTGTTGTATGGTATTCTGCATACCTCGGATGTAACGAGTAGTTATTTGAGGTACTGTTACCTTTCTATCATCTTGAACCAGTCTGCCCATTCTCCTCTGACCTCTGACCTCAACAAGGCATTTTCCTCCACACAACTGCCGCTGACTGGATATTTTCTTTTTTTCGGACCATTCCCATTAGATCAGCAATTTCTGAAATACTCAGACCAGCCCGTCTGGCACCAACAACCACGCCACGTTCAAAGTCACTTAAATCCCCTTTCTTCCCCATTCTAATGCTCGGTTTGAATTTCAGCAAGTCGTCTTCACCACGTCTAGATGCCTACATGCATTGAGTTGCTGCCATCTGATTGGCTGATTAGCAATTTGTGTTGCCAAGCAATTGAACAGGTGTACCTAATAAAGTGGCCGTTGAGTGTATATATCGTCCTCATATTGCTCAGCGCTGTACACCGCATCATTCATATGACTCCTTGCTGCAGAAGCAGTTCACGTTCCAAGGTGTCATTCCCAGAAGTGCCACAAGGGGGCTCCTCACACATAGATTAATGAATGGCCAGATTGAATTGTGTATCTCCGTTCGGTCATTGACAAATGACAGTATGAACCACAATACCCAACAGAGGACAACAGATCTAACTAGATATTCATCACTAATCTCATCCCATAACCTAGAAGAAACGTCTGCCGTACACAGCTGGGCGGATCCAGACATAATTGTCGGGATCCGCTTCAGCTGCGGCGTCCCAGTATACCGCGAGCTGTAGCTCGCGGTATAGTGAGCTTAGGGTGACGGGAGGACGCTAGTTTGTGTCCTCCCGTTACCCTTAGGAGAACTATGGGGAAAAGCCTTAACCCCATAGTTCTCCTTTAAGTTCTGACGGCTCCGGTCTCCATTGTTTGTCTACCTCTGCTGGCCGCGCCTGGGTAGTACATCTCCATTGACATCTCCCAGACCAGCCGCATAGAAGTCAATAAGCCTTTACGGACACAAGCCTTAATGGAAGTCATTGACTTCTCTGGGGCTCATCTCCTGGCCAAGAGACAGAGGTAAACGCGGCAAAAGTTACTGCAACCTGTCATTGGAAGCAGCTAGCTGTGACTTAGTTGAGCACACGCACAGGCGTATGTGTTGATATAAAATATGGCAAATTGCTTTCATTGGCAAATGACTGGCACGCTGATCATTCACCACTTAGTGAATACGCCCCTACGTCTTTTATGACCGAGGACGGCGTCCCACACAATCACTAGTGCGAACTGGAACCAGAACCCCGATGCTGCAAGACCACAAGACTAATCACAGCGCTGCTGTTGTTGCCCACGCTTTGCTCGTAGATCATTATAACGCGTTTGCAGGGAAAGGTTGGACCTGCCCGGCTAATTAGCTAATCATCAGTATTCAGGAACAGTGTGAGTTTTATGGCGGCAGCACGTAATTAGTGGAGACGAATGACTTATTAACATCTGACGGGACTAATTGTTATGCGATGCGGTGAAGGCTTATTAAATCTCCGAGATTACATAAAAGAACACCGCTAGGCCGCTTTGTTTTTTTCATCGAAAGCT